ATTTAGAGGTTCCTCTCGACTTCCATTTTTTATAGATTGGTACTATGTTTGTTTTTTTCCATATATCTGCTAAGATTTCTGTGCACTAAGATGTCTGGAATATTAATTGGAGTGGATTGCTCAGCTCAGTTGCACATTCTCGCAGCAGGCACGGTGAAACTCCATCAGGTCTAAGAGCTTTATTTTTTGCACCCCTTATGAAACAATCCTGGTCGATGTGTACAGTTGAAGAGTTAAACAAAAATGCATGGAAGGTATAGATAAAATCTCATTCTTTACTTGTAATGATATAAATGTATTAATGATTTAATAAATAATACATACATCAGTAGCTAAGTCATACAATAATTTTATTACAGAATTTCTCTTTAATTATTGATATTTCTGTGGGAGCCCCTTCGGCTCCCTGGAGCTATTAGGCTAATGTGTGATATATTAGACCAGGGCATTAGCTATGGAGTTCGACCATCAGAGACCATGAGCCAGAACCTGGCCCCTTCAGAGAGGTTGCAGGGAGCAATGGCCCTGAGAAAACCCCAGATGGTTGGGGTTTTCCTTATCTGCCATCGACCGGGATTAGGCACCCAGAAAGGTAGGCATAACAAAACAAATCCCACATGGTAATAAAATGACAGCTAACAACCGAAAATAGAGATAAAACTCCCTCCAATCCCTTGGAAAGAAGCAAACAAGCAAACGTCACACTCTACTGCCTCGCCACTCGTTCGCGCATCCCTCCTCTCCCCGCACCGGAGCGGGAGGGGAGATATCATGTTACTGGAATTAATTTATGTAGCCACGATTTGCTGTATCAGTGAATAGATTCATTATTATTTAATACTCATTTATTAATCCTTAGTACAATGGGATGTATTTCCTGTACTAAGCATAATAATCAACTAACACTATTAATCCGTAGTTTAGTATCAGAGAATTCATTGCATTAGGATGTGGAACATTATGTAATTTCTCCTAGAATTGTGCAGTGTTGCGTCAGCCACCCACGGAGAATAAATTTCCACATATCTGTAGATCAAATAGAAGTTCAACCATTTACTTTCCTTTATTAGGGATAATTATTTAGTAATAGATTTACTTTGTTTAGTATACAACAGTTTACTGGAATTCCTTTACCCCAGCTTAATTGCTGTTCTAGTAAATAATACCATAATCAACAATCATTTTCACCTCCAAAAGATTCTCGTTTTATTTGTGCAGTCTACATTAACTGACCTGCACTGTGAGAATCAAACATCACTACATAAAGTATTCATAAACACTTCCTTCCCTATTCAGCTTTAAAAAATAAATATAATTTATGCACAAGCCGCCACTGTGAGCTATGCGCATGCGCGACTTTCGGGAAGGAAGGGTGCTCTCGCCATTTTCTATCAACTAGCATTACGGTGTTCCGAGGCAGTCCCTACAAATCTTACAAGCTAGCAAGCATCCGTACATCATCGGGCTTCAGATTGAGGACGCAGCTTACTAGAATCACGGACACCAGTTCGACAGGCATTTTTACCCCATTTGTTCTATTTATTGAGCTCTTAAATATGTTCATTTGGGTGCCCTGTCATAACGCTGCAGGCGATAAAATAAACCCCACCATGGTGCAACACCACTGAGGAAGCGTATGAACGCCACATACTCACGTGATCCAAGTATCACTATCCCAAGTTGACATTCGACTCCACCTACGTCCCTCTGTCACAGCTGAGATTTAATCAGTTTTCATTGTAGATAGTAGAATTTAATTATTGAGAGTCAAGCATTTCTAATCATCGCATATTAATCAGATACATAATTTGAATTTTAATATACAGTAGTATTTTTTGCATTACATTTTATTTATCATTATCTATGTGTGTGCATATTATCATTATTATTATTATTACATAATATATGTTACACATAGACTAACCTCATAGAAGACCCCCCCCCAAAAAATGTGTCATGGAACCTTGGTTCTAGCATGCATAGAATTTACAGTCATTGCTTAATAAAATTTATTCACATATAATCATAGAGATCCATAAATCACTGGTTCTCTCATTTAACAACGCATTCTGGTCCTTCGAGCTATCTTAGATTTAATCTTTATTTTGCATTTATAGAATTATACATTTTATTAGTATTAAACTAGAGCCAGATTTCCCCACAGGTGTTCTGAAGTCAGCTTATTCATATCAGTTATATTTTGGAGCATCTGGCCATCTACAAACTCCAGACATATCCTGCAACTTAAATTTTATGGACACCACGTTCGGCAGGGAAGATAAGTATCCTTTAGTGGTTTTAGAGGCCTTTAAAATTTAATTAGTTTACCTCCCTGTTCGTTAACGATATTTGGCGACACATAATCCTACGTAAGTGTACTGCAGGTCCTTAAATCCATTTAGAATTTAGAATTAAATGAAAGATTCTAGGGTTTGGAGTGGAATTTACATAATATTTATATTTCAGCTGGAGTACCAGCTTTTGCGAGACCATAACGTCTACCACGATCACGTATTTCCTCCAGTAGCCTGTACAACAAGTTTACACCTACGAGTATACAATTTGTATGATGCTAGCTGTGATACCTACTTAACAGCTAAGCAGTCTTTCACGTTTTTAGTAGACTAATGTTGCATTTTACTAACCAATTTATTTCATTGATAATATTTTCTTGCATTTCCAAATTTATATGTGTGAATATTTATTGATGAGTAGTATGCCATTATTATATAATCCCATGTAGACTAACCTCATAAAAGACCCCACCAAAATGTGTCATGGGAAGAGGTTCTAGAATGTATAGAATTTTACGATTCATTGCGTAATAGAATAATGGAATTTCTTACATTTAATCATAGAGATCCATAAGTCACTGGTTCTCTTATTTAACATCGTATTCTGGTCCTTCAAGCTTTCTTAGAATTAATTATTATTTTGCATTCACATAATTATACATTTTATTAGCATATAAACTAGAACCAGATTTCCCCACACTCGGTTTCTTCCTCTGTTCGAGGTTTGGATGGTCGACGCAGACTTCTTCCATTGACTCTGCCAGAGGTACGGAGTCCCGAACTTAGATCTCTTTGCGTCGGCGTGGCCTCGGCGTCTCCCGATCTATGTGGTGCACTTTCCCGACTGCGAGGCTGTTGCGGTGGACGCCTTTCGTCGGGACTGGTTGAGGTGGGGTTACTTGTACCTCTTCCCTCTGGTCCAGCTGTTGCTTCAGGATCTGGCTCGGTTAGAGTCCTACCAGGGGCGAGTAGTCCTCGTGGCCCCTTGATGGCAGCCCAGCATTGGTTCCCGGCTCTGCTTGCTTGGTGAGCGAACCCAGGAGGTTTCACGAGGCTCCGCCTCTTCCAGCAGGTTGGACCTGTCTTTTTGGTCTTTTTGATACGGGTTTATCACCACATGTATGGTGATCATGTGGCTTCTTTAATGGTGTCCCACCTGAGAGCTTCATCTCGAACACTGTATGAAGTTTTCTGGCGTTCTTTCCGCCATTTTCTCTCATCGTAGGTTGTCTTCTATTGCAGATTGGGTTGTCTTGGCTTTTTCAGGACTGTCATTTGACGACTATACTATCGGCATGTATCATGCAGCGCTGGCGGAACCGCTTCAGCTTGCGCTCGGAGTAGTTGTCTTTTCTGAGCTGTTTCATAAACTTTCTCGTGCTCTGTTTCACCTCAGTCTTGCTCATGCACCACCTGAACCGTCATGGTCTTTGATCAGGGTTCTCTCCTATCTTTCCTCTCCTCGATTTGTGGTGGCCCCTTCGGTTCAAGATTGTTTTTCCAAAGCTCTGTTTCTATTGGCATTGGCCTGAGGGTCGGGTTATGGTGCTGCATGCTCTCCTCTGGCGCAGGGGTTTCTGCTCTTTCGGTCCTGGTGGTAAGTTTTTGCATTTGCAGCCTTCTTCTTTTCTGGCAAAGAACGAGACCCCTCCTTTTCAGAGGGGGTCCTTTAGTCGTTGATGCTTGGTTACCGGGGGGTGCATCATGTGTTGTGTCCGGTTGCAGCTCATCGTCGTTACCTGCACACTTCGGCTTCAGTGGCTGGGTATACGCTTTGCATTGATCCGGTTTCCCCTCGTTCCCTGTTCCAGGGCTCGGGTCTTCCAGGTTGTCCGCATGGTTATTAAGTCTAGCCAGCCTGCGGTCTATCCTCGTGCCCATGATGTAAGGAATTTTGCTGGATTGACTGCCGTGTTTGGCAACATGTCTTAGGCTGATATTCGGGTGCAGGAATTTTGGAGATCAGATAGGGTCCTGGCCGCCCATTCTTTGGTTAACGTTCCTGCTCATGGGCGTTCCTGAATTGCTTTGGGTCGCAGACTAAAGCCAGGTGTCTTGACTTTGCGTTGAGGAGTTTGTGGCGTCCGCCTCTCAGGTATGTCCTTCTTTTCTTTATCTTTGGTTATGTAGCTCCAGGGAGCCAATGGGGCTCCCCACAGAAAACCAGCGTTGAATTCAATAAATCGTTATTTTCAGGGCGAGCCCTAGAGGCTCCCTGTTTTTTTGCGTAGTTTAATGCTTAGTTTTCGAACTGGATAACTGAGTAGCTACCATGGGGAGGTCCAAGGCTCCCCGCCTCCACATTTCGTGGAGTGGAGGGCTGCACTGACGAGCAGCGCGGCAGTGGAGTGTGACTTTTGCCTGTTTCCTTGGTATTGGAGAGAATTCTATCTCTAGTTTTGGTTGTTAGTTATCATTTTATTACCATGTGGAGTTTGTTTTGTTATGTATACCTTTCTGGGTGCCTAACCCAGGTCGATGGCAGATAAGGAAATCCCCAACCAAATGGGGGCTTCTCAGGGCCATTGCTCCCTGCAACCTCTCTAAAAGGGCCAGGTTCTGACTCGTGGTCCCTGGTAGGTTGAACTCCATAGCTAATGCCCGGTCTAAAATATCACATATTAGCCCGATAGCTCCAGGCAGCCTCGGGGGTTCGCCCAGAAAATGCTGTTTCATCACATTTAACGCTGCTTTTTTATATTTTAGGTGATATTTTGTAGTGAAGAGTGTCGATCACAGGAATTATCAGACATTCATTGGCAAGAATGCCCTATTGTGGAAACCCTGCATGTACTGGAGAATGGAGGTTTGCTTGCAGTAGCATACAAATTAATGATGAAGACTTCTCATGCTAAGTTCAAGGAAATTATACCACTACTGCAATATGAAGCAAAAAACCAACCTCCCAAAAATCTTGGTTTCAATAAAAATGGTATCTATGATGCATCGGATTATAGATCAGTGTACCACCTGACAACCAACAAAGATAAGTTATCTTCAGAAGAACTAAAGATATGTATACAAGCTTTTATTGTAACCAAACTTCTGCAGTTGAGTGGTCGCTACTTCCTCAGTTGTGATGGTGAGCCCTTCACTCCAAGCCTTGAAGACATCATCTTGACTGGCAGCACACTCATCCATCACATCATGATCATCAATTGCAATAGTCTATGCTTTTCAAATCCCACGGTAATACTTCCAGATTGTTGTTTTGTGTTTGGCCCTTGCCATGATTGGACTAAGCTATATAAACTATATACTGTATTAGAGAAAATGTCTGTCATACATTATGAGGTTGGAACCAGATACTTTGGGCTAGTCTCGCCCAACCTCAGGGTAAATGTCTGAGGTAAGGGTCAGACATAGGTCTATAAAAAGGCTAAGCTGCAGGTCGGGGTCAGGTATATAAAGAGGGGGTCAGGCTGCTGGGTGGAGTCAGGTCTGTAAAGAGGGGGTCAAGCTGCTGGTCGGGGTCGGGTCTGTAAAGAGGAGGTCAAGCTGCTGGTCGGGGTCAGGTTATAAAGAGGGGGTCAAGCTGCTGGTCGGGGTCAGGTCTATAAAGAGGGGGTCAAGCTGCTGGTCGGGGTCAGGTCTATAAAGAGGGGGTCAAGCTTCTGGTCAGGTTATAAAGAGGGGTCCGGTCTATAAAGAGAGGGGTCAAGCTGCTGGTCGGGGCCAGGTCTATAAAGAGGGGGTCAAGCTGCTGGTCAGGGTTAGGTCTATAAAGAGGGGGGTCAAGCTTCTGGTCGGGGTCAGGTCTATAAAGAGAGGGGTCAAGCTGCTGGTCGGGGTCAGGTCTATAAAGAGGGGGTCAGGCTGCTGGGTGGGGTCAGGTCTATAAAGAGGGAGGGCCAGGCGGCTGGGTGGAGTCAGGTCTGTAAAGAGGGGGTCAAGCTGCTGGTTGGGGTCGGGTCTGTAAAGAGGGGGGTCAAGCTGCTGGTCGGGGTCAGGTCAATAAAGATGGGGTAAAGCTGCTGGTCGGGGTCAGATCTATAAAGATGGGCTAAAGTTGCTTTTTTTTTCTTTTTTTGCAGGGATATTCCTGCGCGGGCCCTAAGCCTCTGGTTGGCCCACTAAGTGTTGTTTGTTTCTGTTTTACTTGGTTTTATTATGAGTATTTATTATCGTATGGTGGCTTCAGTAAGATTTTGCCATATGTGTTTAACAACTTCTTCTGCTCTGTTGGATAATAAATTGCTGGTCAGGGTCAGTTCTATAAAGATGGGGTATAGCTGTTGGTCGGGGTCAGGTCTACAAAGATGGGGTCCTCACAAATTTTGCTGGACGCCTTTTCCTTTTCCTTTTGTTTCGTTTTCTCCCCCTCTTCTCCTTTCTCGTTGTCATTTCCTGCTGACCTTGTGCCTGTTTTGATCATTCTTTTGGCCTTCTTTTGTTTTGACGCCCGGGTATTTGAGGAGCATACTCTTGCACCCGTAGAACTGTAGCACCCAGCGTCTCGAGCTAGGGGAACCTTTTATTGTCAATCTCCCTTTCGTCACTGAACCCAATCTCGACGGACTGACGGTTCTTAAGGTGGCGTTTGTGGGGCGTATACTCACGACGCACCCCTAGGGGGCCCCGGCTTGATCGGCGATAGCTTCTTGTTGGGTGTCCTGCCTCTAATTGTGGCTCCATGGTGGGTGTGGGGGCACATTCGTGAATGAAAGTTTCTTTTCGTATCTATGTTGATGAATGTTCCTCTTGTACCCTCTCAGGCTCGTGGGGTGGGCGACCAAGCCCCCGAGTCAGACTGTATTGGAAGACCGGGCTCTGTAGCCCCCGCTGCGTTGGGCCCAGACCTTGCTCCTCCTTTGACCCTCCTGACTACTCCCCTCGGCTCCCCTCCCTCCTCTGTGGTTGGGTCGAGCCCCAAGCCCCCAGTGGTGACTACCTCGTCCCCTGGCACGGCTCAGTCTCTAGTTGTGACTACTGCGCCTTTTAACCCCCCTCTCTCTCTGGGGGTTCTCAACGCCGTCCTCGACACGGCCGCACTCGCTCGATTCCTTCCCGTGCTGATGCGTATCAGGCCTTGTTTGGTCCCGCTTCGTGGGCCAAATACTTTGATCTCCTCCCTCTTGATTCTGCGCCTCCTGACGATTTCTCCCTTCATAGGCACCTTGTTGATTCCGTAGATGCCTCTGTTACTTTTCACCCCACCCGTCTCGGTGCATGTGTCGTTGCTGCTCCTTCTCAGGATGCAGCCTCCCGCTTGGCCGCCTTGTCCTGCCTTGGCGAGACCCCTGTTCGAGTCTCCAAGAACGCTCGGTTGAATGCCAGTGTTGGCACTATTCTCCTCCCACCCCATGTTGCTACCGGTGTTCAGAATCTCCAGGACTGCCACGAGGATATTCGTCATATCCTCGATGCCCAGGGCCATTCTGTCCTCCAGGTAGACTCGTTTACTCGTCCCCCTCGTGGTCGTCGCCGTCAACCCCTTCGGGTTGTGAAGATTACCTTTGATGGTAGGACCCTTCCGCCGTCTGTCATTCTTGCTGGTGCCAGGTGCTCCGTCCAGGAGTACATTCCCTCTCCTCGACTCTGTAGTAAGTGCTGGAGGTTTGGGCATGGTGCCCTCCGCTGCTCTGGAACTCTCTCTCTCTGTCCTTTGTGTGGGGGCGAAGGTCACTCTAAGTCGGAGTGCACTTCTCCCCAGGCTCGCTGCCTCAATTGCGGTGAGGCCCACCCTACCTTCTCCCGTGCGTGTATACATTACAAGCTTGAGGCAGCCGTCCTCAACTTGAAGCACCGGGAGCGTTTATCTTTTCCTGAGGCGAGGCGCCAGGTTCGCCGGCTCCCACCTTATGCTAATGTCTCTTATGCTCGCGTGTTGCGCTCTTCCTCTCCTCGTCCTTCCCACCTTCCTCAGACTCGAAACCGTTTCCAGGCCTTGGACCCTGATAAGCCCACTGCTCCCTCCTCTGTTCCATTGAGTTCTGTCCCGAAGGGTCCCCCTCCTGGTCCTCTGTCTGGGGTTCCCCTTCTTCCTGCCCGGTCTGTCATGTCTCCTGTGTCTTCTTCCTCGTCTCCCTCCGATCCTCCTTCCCATCCTTCTCCTCCGTCTATTGGCTCTCCACGCCACCTGTCGGTACGGGCTGATGTCCATCGCTCTCCCAACGGCCGTCGTGTATGCTCTCGTTCAGCTTCTCCTGTTGAGAAGCTGGAATCCGTTGCCCAGTACGTAGTTGCTGGGACACCTGTCTCTTTGAGTCAGAAGCGTAAGCCTGGCTCCTCTCCTTCCTCCTCCCTGGCGGGTAAAAAGGCTTCGCTTTCTTCCTCGCCCCCTACTTCTGACTCTCTCGCTCCGTCCCCTCCCGTTTCGGTGGTTACGCCCCCTGTTCCTGCTATGGAGGTCTCTTTGGCCCCCGCTTCCCTCTCGGTTGGTGCCCTTGCTGAAGTGCATCCCCTTGTTTCTGTCCCTCCTGCTGCTGTCCTTGACCCTCGGTTATCCCCCCCCCCCCCTCTTCCTCCTCCGGACCCTGCTCGTCCGCCCCTGGTTGGTCCTCTAGCTACCTTCCCTCCTTCTTTACTCAGTTTACCCATGCCCCCTAACCCTGACTTCGCTGACCCTGACCCTGATCCTGCGCTTCTTTAACGTGCTGTGTTCCCTTTTCGCCTTTGTTTCTTCGTTGTTCTCTGTTGCTGTCCTTCCTCTTCTCGTCGATGTCTATTCTTCAATGGAACGTTCGTGGTTATTACGCCAATTTCCTCGAACTCCAGCTTCTGATTTCGCGGTTTTCGCCCCTTTGTGTCTGTCTCCAGGAGCCTATGCTTGGTGCTCGTCCTGGTCGCTTTCATGGCTATTCCTTTCTCTCCACCTCACCAGCTGTTGCTGGGGCTCCTAACTCTTTTGCTCTCTTGATTCGCTCTGAAGTTCCCTTTGTCCCCTTACTTTTTCCTTCGCCTCTCCATTGTTCTGCTCCTCGTATCTTTGTGAGGAATTGGTACACCGTTTGTTCCATTTATCTCCCCCCGAGTGTCCCGCTTTCTCTTCCCGATCTGAAACACCTACTGGACTCCTTGCCCTAGCCTGTGCTCCTGCTAGGTGATTTCAATTGTCGTCATTCCCTTTGGGGTGATATTCTGACGAACACCCAGGGTCGCCTTCTTGAGCCGTTCCTCTCTTCTCTGTCTCTTCTGAATTCTGGTGAGCCCACGATTTGGACTCTCGGACTCGCACCCTTTCCTGTCTTGATCTTTCTCTTTTCTCGTCTTCTCTTGACTTAGATTTCACGTGGCAGGTTCTTGATGACCTCCATGGCAGTGACCATTTCCCCATCCTTGTTACCTTTTTCTCTTTTCAGCCTTCCCTCTCCTTCCCTAGGTGGCAGTTTGCTAAGGCAGACTGGAACCTATTTACCCTCAGTGCTGCTCTCTCTGACCTCTCCCTTCTGCCTCTCCCTCGCTCTCTCCTCCTTTTTCATGACACCGTCTTCAACGCTGCCCTCCGCTCTATTCCTCGCTCTTCCTCTCGGGGCCCACGGAAGTGCGTTCCCTGGTGGAATACAGACTGTGCTCGGGCTGTCCGCTGTAAGCGTGCAGCCTGGAAGAGACACCGCCGCTGGCAGACGGCCGATTCTTTTCTTTTATTTCGGAAGGCGAGTGCGGTGGCCCGTAGGGCCATCTGTACGGCTAAACGTAATTGTTGGGCATCTTATGTCTCCACCATTATGTCCGAAACTCCTCTGCCACAGATCTGGAAGCGTATCCGCAAGATAGCGGGTAAGTTCGTTCCCGATGTCTCACTGGTCCTTCACCTCCGTGGTACTCTTGTGGCGGACCCGTTGCAGGTCGCTACCGAACTGGGTTCCCACTTTTCTTCTGTTAGCTCTGGTTTTCATCTTCCCCAATCTTTCCTTCTTCGTAAACCTGTCCTTGAATCTTGTCCTTTGGATTTCTGTACTCATCTTCGCCTTCCCTATAACGATCCCTTTCTCTCTCTCTGAACTTCGGTCTGCCCTGGCCCTCTGCGGTTCTACGGCGGCGGGCTCCGATGGCATTCATTATGAGATGCTTCGCCATCTCCCTCCGTGCACGTCTCAGTATTTACTGAGTCTGTATAATCGGATCTGGGAGTCGTCGTCAGTCCCTGAGGACTGGCTCGATGCCGTTGTCCTCCCTGTTCGCAAACCAGGGTCTCTGGGAACATCCCCTAAGGACTTTTGCCCTATTGCCCTCACAAGTTGTGTCTGCAAACTCTTTGAACGTATGGTTAACGTTCGTCTGATGTGGTTCTTGGAACACCATCACCTCCTCTCCCCTTCTCAATTTGGTTTCCGCAAGTGCCGCAGCACAACAGATGTCCTGGTGAACTTGGAGGTCTATATTCGTACTGCTTTTGCTGCGAAGACCTCCGTTGTTGCCGTCCTTTTTGACCTGGAAAAGGCTTACGACACCACTTGGCGATATCATATTCTATCCCAGCTTCATTCTTTTGGCCTTCGTGGTCATCTCCCTCTCTTTCTCCGCAGCTTCCTCTCTCGTCGTTCCTTTCGGGTGAGGCTTGGTACCGCTCTCTCTGCCTCTTTTCAGCAATACGAAGGTGTGCCCCAGGGTAGTGTTCTGAGCACTACTCTTTTTCTGGTTGCCCTCAATGGTCTTCTTTCCTCTCTTCCTTCAGGCGTCTTCTCCGCTCTCTATGTCGATGATCTTACCCTTTGCTGTCAGGGTGATGATTCGCCTCTCCTTCAACGCCGGCTTCAACTTGCGATTGATGCCGTGTCGTCTTGGGCCACCGATCATGGCTTCAAGTTCTCTACTACTAAGACTTGTGCCATGACTTTTACTCGGAAACGGGTCGTTCTTCGTCCCTCTTTGTCACTTTATGGTCATCCCCTTGAGTACAAAGATTCCGCGAAGCTTTTGGGGTTATTCTTTGACACTCGTTTGTCTTGGTCTCCCCATATCTCTTACCTCCGTGTTGAGTGCTCTAAGGCCCTTACCCTCCTTCGGGTATTGTCCCATACTTCTTGGGGAGCGGATAGGCGCACTCTCCTTGCTTTACATTCCTCTCTCGTCCTGTCTAAGCTCGATTATGGTTGCCCTGCTTACTCGTCTGCTTCTCCTTCTACTCTTCGCCGTCTTGATGCTTTGCACCATACTGGGTTGCGCCTCAGTTCTGGTGCCTTTCGTTCGACTCCCGTCCTCAGCTTGTATGTTGACACTGGCTTCCTATCTCTCCAGGACCGCCGTGATCGCTACTGTCTTCGCTATCTTGCGCGGTCCTTGCAACATCCTTCCTCTCGCCTCTGTCGTGCTTTAACTTTTACCCCTCCTGCGGTTCCTGTTCCTCTTCACCACCTCCCTCTTTCTGTCTGGTTATCTCGCTTACAGGATTCTCTTTCAGTTCGTATTTCTAATATTTCTACTCGTGTTGTTCCTTCTTTGCCCCAGTAGAGAGTCCCCCTTTCGCAGGTTTGTACGTCCTTAACCCGAATCACTAAAGCTTTCACACCTCCTACGGTTCTCAAATGCTTTTTCCTTGAGCACTCTTCTTCTCACTCCAGCTCCGTTTCCGTCTTCACCGATGGGTCTAAGTCTGCGGACGGTGTTGGCTACTCTGTTGTTTTTCCTGATTGCACTTATATGTGTCGCTTACCTCCGGAGACTAGCATCTTCACAGCGGAACTTTATGCTATTCTCTATGCTCTTCGTCTCCTGCTTTCTCGTTGTCAATCTTCCTTTGTAGTTGTTGTTGACTCTCGTAGTGCCCTCATGGCTCTCAGGTCCTTTAATCCGGTTCATCCAGTGGTTGTCGAGATCCAGCATTGGCTGTTTCTTGTTCACAGTAAATTTAAGTCGGTTGAGTTTCGTTGGATTCCCAGCCATATTGGTGTCTCTTTAAATAAGTGTGTGGATGCTGCTGCCAGGGAAGCTATCTGCTCTTGTCGCCATCTCTCGTAAGGGTATTCCTTATTCCGACTTTTACCCGGATATCCATTCCTCCATCCTTACCCGTTGGCAGGCTTATTGGTCGTCTGTTACTGGTAACTTACTGCGTACTCTTAAGAGTTGTGTGTCCTCGTGTCCGTCCTCCTACCACCGTAACCGACGATGGAAAACGGCTCTAGCGAGGTTGCGTATTGGCCATACTCGCTTAACTCACGGTCACTTAATGGAGCGCCGCCCTGCTCCTTATTGTCCACATTGCAAAGTCCCTCTTACGGTCGTGCATATCCTTGTTGAATGTCCTGACTTCCAGGACGAGCGTGTGTCTTGTTTTCCGACCGTCCCCCGTGGTCGCTTGTAGAATTCTCGATAGTATTCTTGGTGACTCGGATACTTTTGATATCGTTCGCCTTATGCGTTTCTGTTCTCGTATTGGCATCCTTGGTGATATTTAGCGCCCTCTGATTATCCCGCACATTTGATGGTGCTACATAGCCTTCCCGGTTTGGTGCCTTTTTTTGATAATTACTTACTTCTCATGAATCACTCCTGCAATCCAAATTGTGCTGCATTTTATTATGGAATAACTTGCATAATAAGAGCAATGCAATTCATTCCGGCTGGTAAGATGTTAACCACTTCATATGGAGAAGATTTTCTTCAACACACAAGAGATTCCAGGAGGTTGTCTCTAATGACTCGTTTCCATTTCACTTGCACCTGTGAGGCTTGTTTAAACAACTGGCCAACTCGCCAACTTGCCAACTCGCCAACACTTGTAATTTTAAAATGCACAATTTGTAATGAAGGAGAGGGTATCGATCCAATCACAAAATGTTGTCGTAATTGCAATCTGAACTATGATCAAGGAAGCGTGCGAGGAAGAGCACCTTATAACTACAGTCTTATCTGCAGAAAAATAAATAAGGTTCACAGGGATGTTTTTATTGCCACAAAAAACATCTCTGAAGGCAGTAACTCTGAAAAAGACATAAGAGCAGTGCGTACTTTAATTAAAGTTTTCTGTAAGTATGTGAAGCAACCAAATAATGCTCTTGTTGATGCTATAGCAACACTGCGCTATGCCTGTTTCAAACGTTGTTCTTGTGTTTATGTTAAACATGATATCAAACCATCATTCTCAATCATCTGAGACAGAGAATGATGGTTCGAGGATCCTACTATTGCAGTCATTACAAAATGAGTAAAAAGTACAAGTAAAGGCTTAGCTACGGTTAGCACGTAGTAAATAAGTGCTAATATTGCCATTATAATTTAAAGGAGAATATTTAAGGTGGTCTATGATAAATTGTATTTTTTCTTTTTCTGTATATGACTATAAATAAGAGCATATATTTTCCTCATCCTAGCTTTGAAACACTGTCAACAGTGATTTATTATATTCATCTGATGTATTATGTATTAACGATAAAACCTACCATTAATGTATGATGACTTACTGTAAATATGTAGCTCTTGTAATACACTTTCTCTGTAACTAGCTGACATTGTATCTATAAGGTGTGAAGGATTGAAGAAATTGTTTATGTAATAATCTAAGATGAGGTCTGATAAAGACCTTTTGTGCCCTCTGTAATGCTTTTGCGCTACCGCTCACAGGATGAGTATGGGGTGCACAATAAACTAGCCGCCTTCGGCGGCAACAATCAATCTGATGTATTACTTCAGAATTTATATTTAATTTAGAATTATGCAATATTCATTATACAACTTGATCTTAAATGATGCCGGTAAGAATTTCCCTAAATTTTTTAGCTATGCATATAAATGCAATAAAGTCCTGCTAATCCAGATTTCTGTGGAATTTATTAAATCCGATCCGGTTATGGTAAGCATGTGAGAAAACGAAGGTTGTATCATCAGCAAATAGAATTGGCTTGAAATATATGGTATTTGGAAGATCATTGATATATATGAGAAAGAAGATTGGACCAAGTATACTACCCTGCAGAAAACCAATTGGCATTGTGGGACAAGTGGAATCGTTCACTGAAACATACTGATGCCTGTCACTAAGGTATGATTGCTAGTAGTGAAGGGAGTAACCTCTGACTTCATAGTGTTGAAGTTTGAGAAGGTTATTGTGGTTAACGTTGTCAAAAGCCTTGCACAAGTCATGAAACACACCTATGGACGTACTCATTTGTGTCAAGATCTCCATGTATTAGATTAAGAATAATTATAAGAGCAATTTTGGTGCTTTTATGGGGCCTGTAGCCATATTGGTTAGACCCAAGTACAGTATATTGTGCATTACATGCAAAGTAATATAGCTGTTTGTAAACAAGTTTCTCAAAAATTTTAGACAAGGTAGGCAAAATTGATAATGGTCAACAAAAATTTATTTTAGTGAGATCTCCACTCTTATGTTGACCAGACCACACACTAGAAGGTGAAGGGACGACGACGTTTCGGTCCGTCCTGGACCATTCTCAAGTCGATTGTGACAATTGACTTGAGAATGGTCCAGGACGGACCGAAACGTCGTCGTCCCTTCACCTTCTAGTGTGTGGTCTGGTCAACATACTTTAGCCACGTTATTGTGACTTATCGCCTCCACTCTTATGGACCGAGATGACTTTAGCCATTTTAAGAGCATCTGTGTTAGGATTTAAAGTATGTTGTAGGATTAAGTCTACCTGGGCTAGGTTCATAATATTAAAAGCCGATGCTCAATTATCTATAAGGAATATAAGTGTTATATACATGGTACCTTCACTGATGATGTGTCCCTGTCTGTAAATAAACGCTATGTGGACGAGACTTGCGTTTCCCTCCAGGCCCTACCTTACCATGTCCAAACGTAGCAGTGCCGACGAGGATTAGTAGACAATGCGGGGAGTCCAGGTTCAAAATGAGGCAAGGAACATCGGGTACCAAGAGTGCGTCGTGTGGATTGGCGGAAGAAGTTAGACAACAGTGAGTTGTGTTCATTCCCTGTGGTTATTGCTACTTCGTTCCAACTCAAGATGGAACTGTTTGATGCTGCCAAAATCTCTCTAGACCTGTGGCTGAGCCTGCTAGAAGCAAATTTGGAGATTCATGGGATTAAAGAGGATGCGAACAAGAAATTGGTTCTTTTAGTTTCAGTGGGTACAGCAGTTCGTAATAACGTGCGCAACAGAGCTACACAAATGAAGACGTGATCATACTGCTTAAGCGTCATTATAAAATGAAATCTTCGTATCACAGGAGTTTGATGGATTTCCAGAAGAGGACGAAAAATGCAGCAGGAATATTTAAAATGTAATATGCAAATTTGAAGGCATTGGCTAATAACTATAATTTTGGAGCACCGTTTGACTACCGGGTGAGTATATATATATATATATATATATATATATATATATATATATATATATATATATATATATATATATATATATATATATATATATATATATATATATATATATATATATATATATATATATATATATATATATATATATATATATATATATATATATATATATATATATATATATATATTATATATATATATATATATATATATATATATATATATATATATACACATATATATATATATATATATATATATATATATATATATATATATATATATATATATATATATATATATATATATATATATATATATATATATATATACATATATATATATATATATATATATATATAATATATATTATATATATATATACAGTATATAATATTATATATATATATATATATATATATATATATATATATATATATATATATATATATATATATATATATATATATATATGTCGTACCTAGTAGCCAGAACACACTTCTCAGCCTACTATTCAAGGCCCGATTTGCCTAATAAGCCAAGTTTTCCTGAATTAATATATTTTCTCTAATTTTTTCTTATGAAATGATAAAGCTACCCATTTCATTATGTATGAGGTCAATTTTTTTTATTGGAGTTAAAATTAACGTAGATATATGACCAAACTTAACCACCCCTACCTAACCTAACCTAACCTATCTTTATAGGTTAGGTTAGGTTAGGTAGCCGAAAAAGTTAGGTTAGGTTAGGTTAGGTAGTCGAAAAACAATTTTTCATGAAAACTTGGCTTCTTAGGCAAATTGGGCCTTGCATAGTAGGCTGAGAAGTGCGTTCTGGCTACTAGGTACGACATATATATATATATATATATATATATATATATATATATATATATATATATATATATATATATATATATATATATATTTATATATATTTAAAGTCAATTCTATAGCAGTATATATATATATATATATATATATATATATATATATATATATATATATGTCGTACCTAATAGCCAGAACGCACTTCTCATCCTACTATGCAAGGCCCGATTTGCCTAATAAGCCAAGTTTTCCTGAATTAATATATTTTTTCTAATTTTTTTCTTATGAAATGATAAAGCTACCCATTTCATTATGTATGAGGTCAATTTTTTTTATTGGAGTTAAAATTAACGTAGATATATGACCGAACCTAACCAACCCTACCTAACCTAACCTAACCTATCTCTATCGGTTAGGTTAGGTTAGGTAGCAGAAAAAGTTAGGTTAGGTTAGGTTAGGTAGGTTAGGTAGTCTAAAAAACATTAATTCATGAAAACTTGGCTTATTAGGCAAATTGGGCCATGCATAGTTGGCTGAGAAGTGCGTTCTGGCTATTAGGTACGACATATATATATATATATATATATGTCGTACCTAGTAGCCAGAACTCACTTTTCATCCTACTATTCAAGGCCCGATTTGCCTAATAAGCCAAGTTTTCCTGAATTAATATATTTACTATAATTTTTTTCTTATGAAATGATAAAGCAACCCTTTTCTCTATGTATGAGGTCAATTTTTTTTTATTGGAGTTAAAATTAACGTAGATATATGACCGAACCTAACCAACCCTACCTAACCTAACCTAACCTATATTTATAGGTAAGGTTAGGTTAGGTAGCCAAAAAAAGCTAGGTTAGGTTAGGTTAGGTAGGTTAGGTAGACGAAAAAACATTAATTCATGAAAACTTGGCTTATTAGGCAAATCGGGCATTGAATAGTAGGCTGAGAAGTGCGTTCTGGCTATTAGGTACGACATATATATATATATATATATATATATATATATATATATATATATATATATATATATATATATATATATATATATATGTCGTACCTAGTAGCCAGAACGCACTTTTCAGCCTACTATGCAAGGCCCGATTTGCCTAATAAGCCAGGTTTTCATGAATTAATTGTTTTTCGACTACCTAACCTATCTAACCTAACCTAACCTAACTTTTTCGGCTACCTAACCTAACCTAACCTATAAAGATAGGTTAGGTTAGGTTAGGTAGGGTTGGTTAGGTTCGGTCATATATCTACGTTAATTTTAATTCCAATAACAAAAAATTTACCTCATACATAATGAAATGGGTAGCTTTATCATTTCATAAGAACAAAATTAGAGAACAAATATTAATTCAGGAAAACTTGGCTTATTAGGCAAATCGGGCCTTGCATAGTAGGCCGAGAAGTGCGTTCTTGCTACTAGGTACGACATATATATATATATATATATATATATATATATATATATATATATATATATATATATATATATATATATATATATATATATATATATGTGTGTATATGTCGTACCTAGTAGCCAGAACGCACTTCTCAGCCTACTATGCAAGGACCGATTTGCCTAATAAGCCAAGTTTTCCTGAATTAATATATTTTCTTTATTTCTTTTCTTATGAAATGATAAAGCTACCCATTTCATTATGTATGAGGTCAATTTTTATTATTGGAGTTAAAATTAACGTAGATATATGACTAAACCTAACCAACCCTACCTAACCTAACCTAACCTATCTTTATAGGTTAGGTTAGGTTAGGTAGCTGAAAAAGTTTGGTTAGGTTAGGTTAGGTAGGTTAGGTAGCCGAAAAAACATTAATTCATGAAAACTTGGCTTATTAGGCAAATCGGGCCTTGCATAGTAGGCTGAGAAGTGCATTCTGGCTACTAGATACGACATATATATATATATATATATATATATATATGTCGTACCTAGTAGCCAGAACTCACTTCTCAGCCTACTATTCAAGGCCCGATTTGCCTAATAAGCCAAGTTTTCCTGAATTAATATATTTACTATAATTTTTTTCTTATGAAATGATAAAGCTGCCCTTTTCTCTATGTATGAGGTCAATTTTTTTTTATTGGAGTTAAAATTAACGTAGATATATGACCGAACCTAACCAACCCTACCTAACCTAACCTAACCTATATTTATAGGTAAGGTTAGGTTAGGTAGCCAAAAAAAGCTAGGTTAGGTTAGGTTAGGTAGGTTAGGTAGACGAAAAAACATTAATTCATGAAAACTTGGCCGATTAGGCAAATCGGGCCTTGAATAGTAGGCTGAGAAGTGCGTTCTGGCT